ATATTTGCAGCAAAATATAAAAATATGGCTAATCATTGATACAAATCCATTATTTAAGTTTAAATATCCACTGAATATCCTTCTGATGAAGGCAAAAGAGAAAGTTTTCAAAAATAAAAAACTTCAGCAAATTAGAAAACCTATTTAATGGTGAAATTTTTGTCTTTATAAAGGTTCTAACATATTTGAGTTTGATACTGCCATACAAAATAATTGGATGGTTGAAATTAGGTACTGACAGATTTGAAAAAATAGCTCTTATAATCTACCTGGACCAAGGGGACGCCATCTGGAAGGCTCTTTGAAAGCTCATCAGCCCATGCCATTGGCCCACGAAGAGGCATAAAGTCTATCACAACAGCTCCTAATTTGTGCTTCTTGACAAAATCAGGTAAAACATCTTTTCCGCAACCAATGAGGAAATGGAATTGAATATTCAATTTTTTGCATTCTTTCTCTGTTTCTTTTAAACCTGAAAAATAAATAGTTTATTTATTTCCCATCTTTAAATTGAATTCTTCGCAGGTAAAGAAAAGCACTGACCCATGGTTTTAACCACAGCAGATCAAATTAAAACATTACAACTAAACAGCCGCCATACAAATGTATTTCCCAAAATATTGCATGAATTTTTTTGTATTTGGAATCCTAATGTATCCATGTTCAAACGCTGAAGAAAACGAAAAAGAGAAGAGAGCAAGCTAAGAACCGTTAATACTACATCAAAAGAAGACAACATAACCTTCAAACACGGAGTGTTCTATAACGGCTGCAAACCTTGCAGTACCTTGCCGGTAAAACCAGCAAAGAAGGCCAATTTTTCAAATTGCGTCACAAAAACTGTTGGTGCAATATTTTTCTGTTGAGAGCGAGGCAGAATTTTTCGTGACTTTGACAGTTGTTCTCTTGGCTAAAATTCAGTTAAATGAATGTCTCCGTATGTTTTAGTACTTTGAGAAAATGGGTTGATAAAACAAAGAGCAACTATCCCATATGAATTTCTGTTCTTTCTTAACAGCAATAGTACTGAATAGTACTGACCCCCAAAATGCATTAAATACTTCAATATTTTACCTTCAAAGATGAACTTGAAATGCCGCAATGTAGCATCCAAGAATTTTGGCAATCGACAAAAGGCAAAATGGAGAGGAACATCATTTTTAAGTGCTAATTTTTGTGCGAATAAGAATGCCCAGTTGTCTGAAAATGAAGAAAAAAAGTTAACAATATGACAAGCAGATATTCCATTATGAACAGATTCTTAACCATGATTTAACTATGATCTGTGTTACATTAAAAATGACTTTTCTAAAATCATGATGAGCACATTAAAGTCTGAACTCTACTCAAACATGCATTATTAAAAGCTACGTTGCTTCAGTTCATACAAATTAGTGCAAGGGATGGAATCTGTAGCAGTGAAAGGTATGCTGTATTATAATAATTTGGGAGGGATTGGAATTTCATATTGTAAATCTTGAAGGAATAAAAAAAAAGTTTCACTTCAAAAATATGGCACTAGTTGGCCCTTTATGTGCTTCATTAAATCTATGATATTGCCTCCATTAAAGAATTAATTTGCACTCATACATACCTATCTAAAAGTTATCTATTCAATACAACTTCCAATTCATTGTCAAGCTACGAACGTCTTTTCTGAGATGAATACAATTTCCTTTTAGAAAAAGCTGATATTGCTGAGATGGTAAGGATAGATTTGGGTTTTTCTCTTCATGGATATCAGCCAAAATTCCCGGGTAAAAGGTGGCTACTTTTCTGTCAACTGAGAACACATCTTTCTTATGTCTTTCTCGGAGGATAACTGTTTGATTTGAGAAGCAGCCTCGGAGCATACGTCCATTACCTGGCATTTGCTGAGTATATGGACTCAATGAAGAACCAAAAAAACATACTGCAACCTTGCGCTCGTTCACCCACTTGGGCAGCGGGTGAAAATGGTTCATAAAATTTTTCCAAAAAACATAGGTTTTTGCCACATAGAAACTTTTGAGGGGTTGACCAACTTGAAATTCACTAATTTTATAATAAGGAACACTCTACTCGGCTTACTACTATGAATTCTACTTTCTGAAATAGTTTGCTAAAAAAAATATGAGTCGGAGGGCTCTTTCATCAATTAAAAAGATGAAGACAGACAGTCGTATAAACTTACCATGAATTCTTTGGTCTCTGAAAGTCCAATAAATGACACCTTTTCCCCACTCTGGAACTTCTTTGGATTTTGAGAGAATTCGAACTCGTTTTTTATTAAATTTGAACTCCAAAACCGATTTGGCAGCCTGACAAGGAGAGACAACAATATTAATGAGAGAATTAAGAGTGAGAGAGAATTCAGAAGAAAAAAATGGGCTGGTTTAAACGCTGAAAAATGGTGAAAGAAGCAAGGAGAAAGAAGGAATGATTTTTCTGCAGTTGAAAATCTGATAAAAAATACATGCATAAAAAATGTGGCATTGTGTCACTTAATTTATATAATTATTGATCAGTAAATGTTTTCTTCCCTCCCCCTTTATTTTAACATGAAGTGATTAGA